TGAGCCTCTACGTGTAAAGTAGAGCCGAGGGATCAAGGCTCAGACCAAGTCCAGTTCAGGCTGACTGTGCATTCCATCCTTTAACGGTCGGTTAATTGGCAACCTACTCGCCCAGCGAAGCAAACACCCTGTTTTGTGCATTGGTGGCCCTCCAATAAGATTTTACCATTCATCGGTCAATTCTCAACCAGGAATCCTATGGGTTATTTCTTGGTAAAACGTCGTTCTTGTGATTTTTCGAAAGATGGTCATATTTGGTGAAATAGCTATAGCTCTTGAAAAGTGGGAGAAGAAATTTCTGGAAAGAGAAGAATTTCTTACAAAACCTGCCAAGTTCAAGAAAGAATTCAACTATTTTCTCGAATTCTCCTTCCTCGCTTGACGACGTTTTGGGAAAGGTTTGATAGGCTCAGATCAGGACTGTCACAAGAGGATGGGACGGGGTTGCATGGAACGTTGCGCTTCAGGAAGAGGTCACATGAACTCCGAACTTTTCCAGCACGGTTGTTAACGGTGGCCTCCAAGCCAATGTGTAGGCCAAGTTGCATCCAGGTGCCACTGCGAAATAAAGCAGAGGTCAAATGCGTGGCGTACCCTGGAAATATAGGGCATAATGCCAAATATTTCGAACTTTCTCATTCTTTTTGATGTAGCCTTGATTTTGGACAGTAGAACATGCATGGCTCATGCTCGTCTGATAGTTGTTTTCAGGTTCTGATTGCCATGTGTGTGTCATTTGCTGGCGATCTGAACAACTTGATCTCATACGTGGCCTTCGCACAGTGGTCACAAAGAGCTTGTACTATGGTAGCTTTGATATGGATTCGGTTTAGGTGAGAGTATAGCGTTACTCGGAAAATGAGCTACTCTCAACTTGGTACCGTTTAGGCGTTGGCCCGTTCATCCCGAGAAGATTCGCATGCCCATCGTCATGCCGATCTTCTTCTGCCTCGTCTGCACGACTCTGGTTTGTTTTCTGTCAGCTTATCCCTTCAAACACGTCATAAGTCAGGTCGGAATTTCAGGTGGTGGTGACGATTGTTGACAATTTCTCGTCGGCCGCTGTTGGTCTAGGTTGGTCAGATACATCTTGCTTTCAGCGCTTGTTTCTTGTAGTTTCTAAGTTTTTCTTCTCTTCCATATTTCTTACTAAAAGTAAAGAAGATACGGTTACGTCAACACGCCGCCGCTACCACACGTCGCCTAACGGTTTGGCCGCAGTTTGAAGTAAATGTCGCGAAGTCCAAAACCAAGCCCTCCAACTCTTGAGCCTCCGCATGTGGCACCAGTGACTCGACTGTTGAGGGCAACACTTGACGTGTTCATGAAAGACTCGACCACCCACAAATTGACTCTACAGGATGGGGCGTCCTGTGAGACCCCCAGGGAAAAAGGGAGCAGGAATCTCAGCGAAATCGTAACGGCGTGCCTGAAGCCGCCTCGCCACTCAAAAGGCTTTGTGTTGAATCCACCGTCACACCGAAATGCCCGTAGTTGCGGATAAGCGCCCACAAATCATGTGCTTCATCGTGGCGAATCTGCCATTTGATTGCCAAAAAATTGATTGAAAAAAGTAGGTGAAATGAGTGCGTGCGCGCAACCTTAAATACTGTAAGTCCAAGCAAATTTCCAATTTTGTCTTTCATTGGCGACTCGCATTGTCTCTCGCCTTGCTATTACTTCTCAGACTTCTTCGCTCCTTAGAGCAAAATGTACCGCGTTGAAAATTGCTTGACTTCTTCTCCACTAGTAGTCCATTCCGTATCCCAACTTTCACATTCGAGCAGGATTACCCTAATAAATTCAGTCCTGATCCTTGCCTCTGAAAGGAGGCAATATGACTTCGGATTAGTGAACGGAGAAACAATTCGAAGCTTCATAATGCCAATAACGTTTCATCGTATAACTTTGAAAACGGTTGTTGGAACAATCATAAAGGGATGTTCCGCCTTTTTTTGCGACGGGGGGGACCTATCCTGGCTCAGTGGCGCGCTCACCACGCGAGCGGTCCGGGGATCAAATCCCTGGGTCGTGAGTCGCCCGGGCCAACCAAGCCTTCCATCCCTCCGGGGTCGGTTAATTGGTACCAGACTTGTCTGGGAGGATAAAAACACTGACTTGTACATCGGCTGGCCCCCGCAAGTCATTGTATAGGCCACATCGCATTCAAACGCCACTACGAATGTACAAATGGAAGTAGAATGAAAAGGGATTGATCAACGGCAAATGCTTTATCCTTTTTATTTTCCTAGCCTCCAGTGTCCTCAGTCTCAGCTTCGGGTGAATAAGCGTCGAGGAGTCCTCAAATCATCGACTTGTAACTCGCGAGACAATGCCGGAATGAAACGTCAACGTCACGGAGAGTAAGACGGCTCGCGCATGGCGAGTGTGAATGTCCGCGCGGGAGGACGTAACTGATCAGGCAAATATCCTCGACGTGCCGTTGGGGAATCTCCGACCCGTATTCACCCTGGTCCAGCCCATTTAACACGAAAGCACTAGCTGAACTTCCTGTATCTAAATACCCGAACAACCTGATGAAGTCCAATTTTAAGGAATTTGGTCGGTGGTTTTTGCTTTTTACTGGGTATTCTTGTTTGGTCGAGCTCTTCCATCCAGCGCAGTCTACACGGAATACTCCAATAAAGCTAACAGTTCGTTTACACCGCTTTCGTTTTTTTCTCAGCATTATAAGCACGACAAATGGTCTGGTATTTAGACGCCACTACCAAATGGGCGCAAATTATTTTCGATCTGATGCCTGAACGAGGGGACGAGAATGAAGTCAATAATGCAATTACGGTGGTCAACGACAAGGTGAGCGTTCTCTTCTCATTTTACATACTTGCAACTTCGTTTTGTATTTCTTTTTCAAACGCCGAGACACGCGAGGCGCCAATTTGGTCCAGTATATCACCTATACTTACCAATATTCCTCCGTTGAAAATTCGTAGCGCTTAGCAATGAACATGTACCTGAAATTGTGAATCGACAGATCCCAAAATTTCCTTTGGGAAATGCCCACAAGTGTACTGATTTTTTGGTGATGGCAAGTTGGATTCCACCTACCCTGAAGTCATCCTCTACAGTGGCAGGCTATCAGAACTTCTTGTCAACCGTCGAAGGCTTTGCTGTTCAGCAGTATTTGTAGTGATCGTCCTGGGAGCGTCTCACACAAGTGCCAACTACCACGAGCATCTATTCTTCTTTATCTCGCTTACGAAAAGCTCAGCTCCGCCATATGACCACCGACTTTCCGGTTGACGAAAAGCCTTGTAACCTCCAGGCAAAATTTGCATCGGCTCTTCAGCAATAAAGGATAAAAGGATAAAGCATTTGCCGTTGATCAATCCCTTTTGGGATGCGGCACGCATTCTACTTCCATTTGTACATTCGTAGTGGCGTTTGAATGCGATGTGGCCTATACAATGACTTGCGGGGGCCAGCCGATGTACAAGTCAGTGTTTTTATCCTCCCAGACAAGTCTGGTACCAATTAACCGACCCCGGAGGGATGGAAGGCAGAGGCGAGGGGATGGGGAAAAGGCGGTTGGTCCCGGCGACTTCAATCTACGCCGATTTGTATTGCGCCCGGACCGCCTCGGCGTGGTGAGCGTCGCACTTGTAACTCCATTCAACTCGCTCTAGTCAGCAGTACTGCACCGAAATGTCGCTCCATCTGCACGATCAATCAAGCTTTTTTCAAGCAGAGTCGACCGCGCGTTGAGCAGTTCTCAAGGGAGGGGGGTCATATTTGATGTTTTTTTTCGAAAATGAGTGGGTCGTATTAGAGTTCGGGTCAAGAGGTCGGAGAAGGGGAGAGTAGTTTTTGGGAAGCTGGATTGGATGTGGGTGAAGAGCTCGTTCTTGACGTGTTTTTTTTTCGAAAATTCAAAAAAAAATGAAAAATCGTGTTTATATGTGAATAAAAATTGTAGTATTTCTCGCTTTTGCTAACAGTATATAATCTCCCCCCTGCCCCTGCATTACCTCCTCCGCTCGACATCCGTTCTGTAAGGAAAGTGGGCGAAGTTGGACTTTGTCAACTGGTGCCAAAATCAATTGCTATGGAAACAATTGATTCTAACACCAGTTGGCAAAGTCCAACTTCGCCCACTTTCGCCCAGTCCATGACGGTGAGGGCGTTGGTCGGGGATAGAGTGGTTCATATTGGTAGACTCCCCAAAGGACGGTGTCAGACTTTGCGGACCGCTCGATTCGCAAACTCTGACACCGGCCTAAAGTGGATGGTGGTGGTGAGATGTATAATAGTATCGAGACCTCCTAGGGAAGGGGTGGGTCGTATTGTCTGGAATTGGAGCAACAAACAGTTTACTGTGCTCACAAAGGTTCTCCAGGCGGGTTTTAAGGTTGAAATCCACAAGTCGCTTGACCTTTTCTTTTTCGAACGAACTGGCCAAGAGAAATACTGCTGCTCTGCGCAATTTTTTTAAACCAAAAGCTCCTCCAAAAGTAGGCTAGCACTAAGCATCAGGAGTCAATGCAGTGAGAGGGGAAAATTTCGTAAGTTATCAGAAAAGTTCTCTATTTCAGGTTTTTCCCACGGAATCGTTCTCAGATTCGTTCTTCCCCACACTGGACGAGGACGACGCAAAAACACAACTTTGATGTACATACATAGTCTGTATATACCAGAGTTCTACGTCACTAAAACTTCAATGTACTTCTATGTATTGATTCTTACTGAGAGCTGATTGGCCTTGCTGTTCGAACTCGTGAGATGATTTTGCTGGAAGCTTAGTGGAAGGGCGAGACGCAGAGATTCCACCACATAGACCATTGCATCGTGGGCAAGCCTACTGAAGCACGAATGACAACATCCGGATCCTCTTGTGATGCACTTTCACCCCTAAGAGCGGCACGTATTCCAGCTTTTTAGATAGTTCTGTTCTATTCACTTAAAGGAAGTGGTCACGATAATTCTCATAGGGACGATAAGGAAAGCTGTGTACTGGAGTGGATAGGGGTCCTGCCCAATGTTAGAACACGTGAAGTTTCAGTGGCAGTGGCGCCTTATCAACGGAGTGATAAGGCGCCGAAATCCACTTCCGTTCAGCAAAAACCAAGACTTATCGATGTGGAAAGGGGTGCGATAAGAGCGTGCTAGATATGATACCGTTATCGTTATCGTCCCGTTTTCATTCTGGAGTGCACCTCTTATCAAGCAGCCGCACCTTCTTATCTCATCGTATCATATCTTCCATGGGCTTACACTCGTCCAAACATTACTGCCTCACACCTTATCGATTGATAACGCGAGGGTAGCAAATCCAGCGTGGAAGCCAGCGTGATCGCTTCCCCCAAGGATTTGATCCTAAATAGCCTGGTCGTGGAATGTGCCTCAAGAGGCAGCGATTGCGAGAGAATCTGTGTGGGTTCGAAGCGGGTGGCAAATGGTGCCCATTATCTAGAAAGAGACGAGTCCGTAAAGAGCACGCAAGATGGATTTCTTTGTTTGTCCGTTGATTTCCGACAATGGGCGAGCCGGCCACCAAGAAAATAGCAGTTTGGACTTGTTAATCTCAATAGCCTATATCAAGCCCAAATAAATGGTACGTAATAACTTCAGACAAGTTGGAAAATCCGGTAAAAAGGAGCCTTCCGGCCAAATCCTATGCGAACTGATGGCGCAATTATCTGGAAACAGCATAGAGCGGTTTAATGGCGTCACGGTCCTTGGTTGGCAAGCCTTGCTGCACCAAAAACATGCACTCAGCGGTTCTGCATCGATAATCGTCACACTCTCGCATGCTTCCTTTGGGCCACTAGCCTATCTGCTGTCGCCGAATGTCAGAACTGGCCGAGCTAAGCGATTCGCTAGGCGTCCCGCATTCGCGTTATGGTAATGCTACCAATTGAGCGCGATTCGTTGTCCGCGACGCGACGGGACGCTAAACGAAACCCGCTCTATTCGCAAGTGTGACATCGACATCATACTTCCTCGATTCGTAATAACTGCCTTCTAGGTGCAATACGGTCGCGGTGGTGTAACGGCCAGCACTATAGCCTGGGACACTATTTATTATCATCGCATCTGAGCAGCCTTCTGTTTGAAATGCTGCTCAGTTGCGATAATAAATGGATAGTGTCGATGTTTACCTTCTTTGGACACTTCTGTTGCAAATAAGAGGGAGGAGGGGGGGGGGGGGGCGGCGCTGAAAGCGTAGGAATCGGCTAGTTTCCTGACATTGACGCTGACTTTCGCTGCTTTGAGAAACGCTGATTTACATGATCTCGAATATCAATAACCATGTCATGGCTATTAGTGGTCAGAGAAATCCGGAGGGGTGGGGTAACACTTTTCCGCCGTTTTTTGACTGCGCATTTTGATCTTTTTGTTTGAATCTTGACCTTTCTATAAGCCCCTTGGTTTCCACTCACATGTGCCCACCGCATCGCTTAAATTTTCTCTATACCTTCCTTTCAAAATGTGGCGGGGTGCTGTCAAAAACCGTGGGGCAATATTCTGTGAAATTAGAATTTGATCGTCTAAATTGTTCCGTCAAGAGTGTAATGATTGAACGTCCAGAATCAGTTGCTTAACTGTGAAGGGTGAGGTGCGAAACTCCCCACTGGCAGGTACACAAAAAATTCTTCGCGCTTACATTTCGAAGTAAACGTGGTGATGTGCAATGCTCACGTGAGAAGTTAAATCATTCGAACGGGAGTGTTTGATGAGCTGGCCTCGCGCCCATTCTGGGGTTCTACGCGTTGGACCTATTTCCTCTCACGTGGTGCGTCATATTCGTTTGACTTGTAGAGGAAGCTTTCGTGAACAGCTCTACCTGTGGTGATAAGTGGCCAAGCAGGCTGCTAGCCATTGAAGGCACAGTCAGCAGCAAGTTTTTGACGCAGTCGTATTCTAATGGGTGGAAAGATGCAACTAGCGCCTATCTCAACTACATAAGAAGTGCCGCTGAAGTGAAAACCAACCCTTAAAATCCGTTGGGAGAGTGTTTAGCGCCTTCAAAGCGGGCGGGGCCACAGGGCGGACGTTCACTTGCAGCCTTTGAGAGCGTGATGCAGGTCCTTACGAGATCGCTTGGACATGGACGCCAGCGTTTCAAAATTAATTTCTGCTCCTTTACCTGCTTCTTCCTGCCTAACAAAATTAATTATTGGTAATTTTGTGTTTGTATAAGGGCAACTGCGAGCCAACACGTCCAAACGCCCCTCCCTAAACCTCGAAGAAGGACGAAGCCCCTATTTAAAGACTTCGCCGGCGTTTTCCTTTGCTTTTTTCTATTAGCAGTCAACTGCCTTCTACAATTTCATTATCGGCCACTTTTACCCCGCGAATTCGAGCTGGAATTGTTGCTTGGAGGCACGCTCCAAGATTAGGCACACCCACTTGTTCGATCCTCGACCGGGATAGACATGTGGGTGAGCCGCTGATTGATGCCACCCTTTGCGGCTTATAAGTGCACGACAAACGAATAATCCATCTATGCAAATTCTCATCCATTTGCGCCAAAATACTATGTCCGTATCACTTTCTGGCTCAGAGCCAACAACTGGTACTGGAGCAACTTTAGTTGGTTTACGGACTACTTGAACTTTCTTCCATGGTCCTGCCACGAATGGCGGAGGGCACAGACAGCAAGAGAACGGCGCCTGGCTCGGCTCCAAATGCCAGGGAAGGAGGTGGAGCTGCTAAGACTAAGAGGGGGGGGGGGACTTCGGGGGGGGGGCCTCAATACAGTGGTTCAAGTTTGAATGTGTGTGATCAACAAATGGCATGATAAGGTGCGAGATGGTAGTCTGACGGCGGGTCAATACGGACTGGGTTCAAGTAGTCCGCACACCACTTTAGTTCCGTGAAAAACTCGTCCAAACACACTCTCTCCGTTAGAAGATGGAAAACGGCTGAAAGCGAGCGAGACGCTTGCCTCGAGCGCAACCGGGAGCGTTTCTTTTGAAGCCCTTTAGATAACTTCTTACCGCCGGCTTATAATTTACCTCTCTTACACATCTATTTTATCCCGAAGCTTGCCCTAAAGGAAATTTCGAAAAATCGGAAGCGCCTGGCCCAGGTGAGACACACGAAGCAGTGAACGGCATTCCTGCTGAGCCTCTTGCCAATACGTTTTTTTGGTCGCTAATCATAAATAAGCTCGTAGTTATGGAGATATTTGACTGGACAATCACTGGGATAAGCCTGAATGGTGATTCGGGGTTCTGCCCTTTCTTGGGTAGTCTACCGACGAAGTGCCTCTATTCACAAATCGGTGGAAGGAATCTTGAGAATGACTTTACCAATGTGTTGTTCACAAATGTTCACCTCACAAATTTAAAAAATTTAAATAAAAATAAAAAAAAATCGAAGTAGAATGCGTCGCAGGAGCCTCTTTCCGTCATAACATATGCGTGCGGCTCTGAGAACTTTATCGAGCTATTGTTAGTCGAACAAAAAAGGGCAATGTGAAACGGCTTGATTTGCTTTAAGCGAGTCAAAGCTATGAATTTGGCGAACAAGAACCGCCCGCACTAACTGCTGCCTATCCATATTCTTTTGCACACCCATCGCAATTTCTTTGACCCTATTCTCTGTTATTCGTGAAATTCTATCCCTTTCGCCAACGCTTCACCGAGATCAATCGCGAATTTCCCCAAAATTTGGATTTCTGAATTGTGGATTTCAGAATTTTTCAGACTCCGCCCGTTTCTTATGAAAGATTCGACACTGCCCTTTGCCAGTCCTATCAGCCTTGAGGGTGAACACGACCCCCCTCCCCTGAACACCTCGAACACTATCCTTATCTGCAATGGCTGCTTCAAACAGTATTTCACGAATTCGTTTTTAAAATTTGAAATTCTGAACTGAAATCGATCGATTTTTATCCCCGCCCATTTCAACGGCCGTCGAGCAAGTACGTGTGTGGAGGGACAGAGGTAGCTGTGTCTATAGCGTGTCTATGTTTGATGCTCTGATTTTCTTATTTCGCGCTTTTTTCGTGGAATGTTCGACAGAATTGTCATATATGACTTCGACACGGGAGCAGCAGCCGACGCCAATCCCCCTTCACTGCTATCGCGATTCCTCCTGTTTCCACCACCGATGACCAAAACACCTTAACATGACCCACTGTCCCTTTACCAACACACAAAAAGCAAAATACACACCTCGCCTCCAGAATCCCGGATACGACTCCCTCGTTGATCTTAATGCAGCGGATGGTTGAGTCTGGTCATATGTCAGGTTCGAATCCTCTCATTTCGTGAAGGGGCTCGTAAAAAGCCGAATAGACTTCTATTTCATGAGCATATCACATTGAGACATTTGAGAATTTTTTTGAAGGTGGAAAGTTTTTAGCAGTCTTTGCTTTTTCTACACTTCTCGCACCCCCATCTTTACCTCCTCAAAGTCGAATCGTGCAGGTAGAATCGCGCGCAATTTCTACTGCAAGATTCTAAAACAGAGTGACACGATGCGTGCGCATACCTAAAATGACCAAATCAATGCAGAGGATATAATTGCTTTCCATGCGTTCTGGTCTAGCTCCTTTTCGCCGCTAATCAGCGTAGCTGGTTTGTCTATCAGATAGTTTTTGTTAGAAGTGCCATAAAGTAGGCCAATGAGAAAGGCAAGCCTAGGCTGAGAACCGTCG